CACACACACACACACACACACACACACGGCGGTCTTCACAGTATGCGTTTTTGCATTTGCATATAAGCAAAAACGTATGAGAAGCTGTTGATAAGACGGCCGAAGGAGCATTTCACTCGTTCCATGAAAACACAATTTATGTTTGAGATTTCTAGCAGTTTCCCGCTTTTGATTTTCGGCCCTCGGCGAAGGGCGTGCAGAATAAAAAGATTCATACTTCATTTTTTTTATTTCCACTTTTATTCTGGCACCGTCTGTTGTGTTGTAAGCTATTTTTTTGCGCTTAGTGTATAGTCGTATGACCTTGCTTTATTACCACTCATACTGATAGTGATTCGCATTACTTATGCTTAGAGAAGACAAACTCCAGCATCGTGTATTCACCAAGATTCAGGATTCAGCTAGCCTGTTATTACTCGTAAACAACTTTAAAAATTTTTTTTTAACAAACTTTTTAAGAAACGCAAACGTTGTCAGTACTGCTGACTTGAAAAAGGACGATTCATTAACCGTCCTTCAAGAAACTGAGTGCACTTGTCTCCCTTTTATTCAAGTCTACCTTTTCCCATCCCCCGCCACCTCTGCTCTGGCTTTTTTATCTTCTGCTGCTAGATTAGTAACAGCAACTGTATAAATAGTTTACATCTCCTGGATGTTGCCTGGGGCTGTTGAGGATATTTTCTGTTCCATAATGAATGTTTTTTACCAATACCTAATTTAACTGAACAGGCGAAGAATATGCTGGCGAAGTGCGCAGTGAAGTCAAGCACCCACCGATCATTCCCTGGTCCCAGTACACTGCGACAGCCAACAGGAATTTTAACACACAAATGGTGCAGAAAGTCATTGGCAACGCTCGAAAACCACTGATAACGTCCTGGAAAGATGCTGACGACATGGTGTCATCCACTGGTTTTATAAATGATGAGAACTCAAACCCTATAATCATATCACTCCCTCCGAACAACAATTTCCTACAGCACAATGCAACATTAGTCGATTCAAAGAACAGAAGTATTTGGGCGATGAATCGCTTTCGACGAAAAAAGAATCAAACTAATATCTATGGAGCAGCCACTGTTAAACTTCGACTAACTACACCGCCAACAGCAATAAAATACTACCAATTACCGTGAGTTTTCCATTTAATAAAAACCTGTCAATTTCATGTGCGCTGTTTCACATCTGATCAAGCTTGGTTGTTTGCCGTTTTATTTGTGTTTTGGGAAGCGCCGGGAAGCCCCGGTTTGCAAAGCACCGGCTTGCTGATGCGATCGTGCGCTTTTGTGCTAAGCTTGCAGATCGCTAACAACAGGAATGGTTGCTGCAGTGTACTTTAACACATAGACTCATAGAGGCTGTGTTTTGGCCTCTTTCCGCATGCAGGGAAAGGCGTCAGTTGGGATGAAGGAATTGCATTATGGTGCTGTACAGGCTCCGACGTACGTGATTATTAGTTTTTCGCATGAAGCCTGCTCGTTCATTGAAAAAATATAAATTTGCAAGAAGTTAGACGAGAATTACGAAATCTGCAAAATGCATATGCTTTTAAATTAGCGATGAAATTTAGTATCTGTCAAGCCTGCGTGTAGGTATTTCACCTCCAAGCTGAATTAAGATAAGACATGAATATAGAATATCCTTGCAAATTTCCAGCTTCGCAGCTTCTCTGGTAAGCGACACAGCCATTTAGCTACAATTATCTTTAAAGTGCTCTAAGTCGTGGCGCAAGTGAAAACCGAAACTCAATTTAGGTACATGATTTTTCACATGAATGACAAATATTCTAACAAAATTTCAGCCACTGTTTTCCGGTTAGCTTTCGAGCTGGCACAGGCCAAACCGTGAATTTTGACGTGACCCTACGCACGATGCAGACAAGCGTGGTAGCTGAATTTGAAATCTGCAGCTCAAACACGCACAGAGATTATCCCTGCAAAGTTTCAGCTTTCTATCTTATCTGGTCCGCGAGATCTTTTCCTACCAAGAAAATTTGCATGTTTTTTCGGGGATACGTACGCGAGATCTACGCGCGTATGAGCGAAGATTTTAAAGCAGGAGGTTGGCACATGGGGTGGGGATATGATCTTAAAATTTCAGCTTCCCGGCTTTCCTGGTTGCTGAACTGAAAGTGGATGCCAAAGTTCACTCGCTTCCGAACACACATACACACACGGATGACCTCTCGACAATATGCGTTCTTGTTCGCTGTATCAGTACTATAGGGCTGCGTAGCAAAAATGCATAAAAGTCAGAGAATTATGCTCAGTAATGGAAAATACATTAAGATCCACTGTGCCCAGAGACTATGCACCGCAGAAACTTTTGCAAGACTTCTGACTTGCACTGCTTCTGAGTCAAGAAAATTTTCCTGCCGACTGATCCAGTCAGCGTTTCTGAAGTTGCTTTGCAGTGTACGACAGTCCGGCTTACGTGGTGTTTCACAAATACGGCTTCCATCCGATTTCCGAGTGGCTCAGCTGCGTGCGGTAAATACCTTCGAACATTCAGTTCCGAATCCTGCCAGTATCAGGTTTGTAGCATAAGCAGATGCTTTAAAAAGTTAAACTTCAACTCTGAACGCATGGATTAGAAATTTGGAAGCGGCGGAAGATATTCTCCCAAAAGTGTTCCGACTTCTAAAGTTTCCCATTGCATTTCGGTGCGCTGGCATTTTGACCTGCCTACACACGGGCATGCACATGCATATATACAAATTCGAACACAGACATGCATGAGCGCGCTCAAACACGAACAAACAAACACACTCGCACACTGCTTCCGCCCTAAAAACCAGCCGTAGAAGGTTTGATGAAGGGACTCGCTTATATGAAGGAACTGAGAGCATTGTGTAATGAAAAGTTGCGTTTCTCAATCTTAAACTTTGTTTCAAATCCGCCAATTTAAACAGTAATCCCTTTTGAACAATCAGTTCGTCTGAACTGTAACTTGATACTGGCCTGCTTTGTCCGGAAAAATCATATCGCATTCAGCTTTTGTGATCAACTATTGCTGGTTGCTGTTGGCAAAGTGCTATACTCGGGTGCTTCACCATTTCTTATGCTGACTGAAGGCGAGAAGCATTTAGGTAATAATGATGGACAGAGGAAAAAATGAAGACAAAAAACCAGCTCATGGCAAGCTTTAGGTTTATCAGCAGAAGAAAAAATTAACCACAGGCGTTGTGGAAATTGTTATCAGAATTTGGCCCTCGCTGACAAGTAGGCGAATGCGCTGGCAGTATGGTAAACTTTTCAGTTGTATAGGCTCTCTGAGTTTGGAAATTTTGGAAATAAAAAAAAATTAAACACTGGCTTGTTTCAGTTTACTGCCCAGTTTGTTTAATCGGCTGAATGTAAACGCGCTTAATGAAGCCAAACCAAACATAATCTTCAGTTCGGAAGAGTACTACCAAAGGAGAACTTAAAATCAAAAATTAATTCTTTTCTCTCGTGTTTTTCCGCAAAAATGACGAAGGAACTGTTTGCGAGCCCATGACTGCGTTTTCAAGCTTGTAATAACCGTTTTCTTTGGAAAAAAGTGATTAGTTTCTTCTTTCAAAGGTCAAAAACAGTTACGACTGGCTTGCGCTTCAAGCCATGGACTTTCAGCCAGGTCCAGAGCATGAGAATGGTACCACAGCTCATTTACTACTAATATGAAAATCTAGGAATATAAAAATATTTTCCTCTATAACAGCAGATGTATTTTTGTAATGGTTTCTAATCATCCGTACGTTTTACTTTTATGCGTTTTTTGCAACTATGCAATGCAGAAAATGCATGTTGACGAGGGGTTGTCTGTGTGTGTGTGTGTGTGCCTCTGTGTTCGTCTGTACGGATTTTTCATCTCGAGACCTGCAAAAGCTACAGGGCTGAAACTTTGGGGACATAATCTAAATGCGCGTACGGGCCCCCATCCCCGAAATGGGCGGTCTTACTCGCGTGGTACCCACGTAAGAGCCCGCCAAAATTTTTTAGAGTAAACTGATAACTCGCTAATCAGAAAAGCTAGAAGGCTGAAATTTTAAGGGGATGTTCCCCGTCCAAGTAGGTATTAATGAGCTCAAAGCCAACCCCCGGCTAAGTGTGGTACCCGCGTACGGACCTGCCAAATTTTTTTCGGGTAAGCTGATAACTTGAGAACCTGCAGAGCCAGACTGTAATATTAAGATGTTCCCCATCCAAATAAGTCTCATCGAGCTCAAACCCAAACATCGGGTATGCGTGGTACCCGCTTGAGGCCCGTGAAAATCTTTTTCCAGTAAGTTGCTAACTCAGGAGCCAGGAAAACTAGAAAGCTGAAATTTTAAGGGGTGT